CGTTAAAGCAAGCCTATGTAAACAAAAAAAACACAGCCACTGTCCAAAGTGGCAATTATACACAGCAATGGATCATGTTAAGACCATCATGTTTGTAGCATGATCCAGGGGATTAAAACGTACAAAATATATTTCAGGCCTAGTAGAGTTGGTAACTAATAATAGTAGTAAATGTGTACAAGTTGCATAAAATGGAAATACTCACTAATGCAAGAAAAAACTACCTCAAAAAACTGTTATCTGTGCTGTTGTTCAGTAACTCCAGTTGGAATTTTCACCCCAAAATGGCGGCCGCGCTACCGAAGCGCCACCTAGTGGCTGTTACCAAAAAAGCATCAGAGTTTCGCCTCTTGTTCTTCTATACTCTTTTTAGCCGCTTTCCGACCGGAGGGACTTTTGCAGTTCCTAGAACCTAACGTTCCTATAACCTTTTTTTTCGCGTGTTCCGACCGGACTAAGTTGGGGATTTTTTAGTTCCTCAGACCGTAGTTCCTATAACTCTTTCAGTACCTAGTCTAGAGCGAGGACTTTTTTAGTTCCCTTTCCCTAGGTCTACGTTGATTGGTTCAACTTATAAGTCACGCCCAGTGTCAACACATTTTATTCACTGTCTGTTGCAATTCGCCTATGTATGCTATGCTAACTCATAACATAACGCATTCAACCAGCTAATTGCTATGCTTGCTAAACTTACCCGTCGTTTTGTTTGTCTCCTGCGCTCTGCTCTTCTATCTTCTTCCATTATATTACTTAAGATCATATTACGCTGGAGCCTTCGTCTTCTTTGTTTCTCTGTACAGAACTCAAGCATAGTCTTTAAACGCCGCCGTTCGTACTCGTTATTAAGCTCCCGGCAAGGCAGAACAGGAACATTCCGATAGCCTCCTCCACGCTGGTTTGTTGTTGTTGTATGTGGCGCCGCCGCCGCCGCCGTGCTTGCGTCACTCCCTTACCCCTCCTACCAGTTCCTATGGCCACTTGGCCAGTGCGAACGCAAACAGCAAAACCGAGTTTGGGGGAGAGTAGTTCTTAGAACTGTTTAGAAGTGGACAGTTCCTATAACTAAGTTCCTGTAACTACTTGGTCGGAAAGCGGCTTTTGTTATGCACCAGAGAAACAAGGGCGCCGCCATCTTTAGAATATTGTACTCATTGTTTGCCGTTTCAATGGGCCGCCATCATAGGCCGCCATACGTAAACCGTCCGCCATATTGCAATGGGTTTTAACGGTCATCAGCATCATAAATCTTGCAGTTTTTTTATATTCTCATTTGTTAAAATTGTATATCCATTTATAACACTATATTTGTATTACCTTGGCTTTGCATTAAATTAAATAACTAGTTAACGCTGCTGAGAGGGTTCACTCGTGCCGACCGTGTGCACTCCGAGTGAATTCCCGCGCCTCTCGCCAGAAGAGAGCGCCGCAGCTGAATCATCCATCCATCCATCCATCCATCCATCTTCCCAACGGCTGGTCCAATGTGGCTACAGCGTAATATCATACAGGTAAATTCCTTTTTTTAATTGATTATTCAATTGTTTAATTAAGGTTTATAGTTTCCATGGCAGAGTTCAAGATAGGTAAAACAAGAGGGGTCGAGGGTCTGTCCAAATAAACTTCCCTTGCCTTGTTCACTTGACAAAGTTGAACACACTTCAAAATGGTGTTGGGTATTCATTCCCACTAAGGAAAGTGTTTAGGGAAGTGTCTAAAAGTTTTGTTGTATTGGTTTTAAAGAATTAGGCTACAACTACAGTCATTGAATAAACAAAAAACAAGACAAATACATAAAAAACAGTGACAAACTTAAAAGTTGAATACAAATATGAAAATGTTTACTAATGGAAATTTACAGCTTTCTTATTTTTTAAACACAACATTATATTTAGGTAGGCCTATTGCTGAACTTCTTAACTTATTTCCTCCAAATTTACATTTATGAATACTAAATTTAGCTAAAAGAAGCGTGTATGTCTAAAAGCAGCCCATGATGTGACCGCTTAAGTGTAAAGAGCCGACTCCAAAGAGCGATTCCTTTTGGAATATTCTAAACGGCCGACAAAAAACGGCGGGTATCAGCTAGGCTATTTGTTGACAAAGTGTTGGAAAATAAATAGTAATGTCACACTACTGAGAGATTAAACTAACAACTTCACTGTTTGTAGTGAGGTAAACTGCCCAAAGATGATTGCTGTAAAATAGTTTATGTGGCACATTCATTCACGTCTATCGCCCCCTGTATAACATTAGACTATATTATCTAATGGTGTTAAAAAAAAGCAGATGTTAAAATTATAAGGGTGTGAGTCTGTGATGTGTGAGCATAACGTTTCGAGTTCAAAAATGTAGACACAAGCATGAGGAGCTTGAGGTTTCAGTACCCCTGAGAGCTTGTCTACCGGTACTTTACTCTCAAACTTATCAGCATATCCGAATTTGAATCAGTCCAACAATATACTCACTTAACTTGATATCTGTCGGATGATGCTGTCAGTCGGTTATAGATTAACTAACAAATGGGCTGTAGATTATTACAGTAACCTCAGCAATGTAAATGTACCACACTTTTGAATCAGCATTTTACTATCTCTTGTCTCTAGCCATTTGCCAGCTGGAGTGACATAGTGTCTGTGGCCTTGTATGCTTTAACCGGGACAGCAAATGCATCAGCATCTTGAAATTTTTAAATTTTAATATATTTCAAATTTTTAATCAATACATTTTATTGTATTGAGTAACCTGTTGGCTTTTATGGTGAGCTTTAAGGCCTAGAAATGCAGTGCAATGGAAAATATGTACTTCCGCTGGAATTACAGGGCTGTAAAGATAACTTAATGCCTAAAATTCCTATCACTATGTTCATCTCATGTAGACAGAAGAGAAATATACTCTAGAGAGAGAAAAAAATAAAAGTTTATAGGAAAAATAAAAAAAGGGGAAGGAGAACAGAGGCGTGAGTTGTATGTAGGACTTGGTGTTCTGAGTCCTTCCTCTCTATTGGGACACTGTGCCTGTGTTCCAATACACGTCATACATCTTATCTCACTGAACAGGGTATGCACTCACATGCATGCACCTATAACAGTCCAGAGTCTAAGTACAGAATGACACACCTTCACTATGTCATTCGGCACATCAATCTTCAGTCTTATTCAATTTATTTGCCTCCACTCTTTGTCAGCAGTTTTTTTTTTTTTTTTGCAATAACTGAGGTTCGGTTCCCCCTGCATTCAAACAGGCTGCTAATGCACATAAAGGGATAGTTCACTGAAAAATTAAAACTCTTTCATAATTTACTTAATGAAACCCTCTTGTCATTCCAAACCTGTATTATTTTTTTCCTCTGGTGGAACGGAAAGGAGATTTTTTTTCTTTTTTTTCTCAGCACATCGAAAGTCAATGGGGTCCAATGTTGTTTGGCAACAGCATTTTCGTGTAAATGAAAAGCCAAAACGTTTTTAGTTGAAAACGGAGTTGTGTAAACTGCTCCTAATTCTGGCATTTACAACATCGATTAAATGTTGTAAATGTAACATTAAATCCTAGATTTTTGTGATTATAATTTTTTTTTTTTTTTGTGATAAGGACTTCAGATGGAATGTATTTTGCTCAAATAGCAGTAGCTCTTAAGTTTGAATCGAGTTCAGATTGAGAGATGTTGAAAAGCATACCACGATTTCTGTCCAGTTCCATTGACTGCAGCAGGACACTGTGCACTGCAGGCACCTCAGCTGACTTGGTAAATGAATGTCCAGGTTTTGTGCCCCTCCTCACAGTTAGTACAAACACAAGGAATGTATTTTGTATTCAATTTTAATTTACAATGCACAAAAACCCAGTATACATTATGTAAAAAAGCAAGTTGCCCAGCAACCCTCATACTTAAGCAAAATATGCCAATCAAATATTCATGAAATATTGAGTTTAGTCTCATTTTTAAGAAGTTTTACACAATAGCTTTATTTTAGCCCAACCTGATACAACAATACAAAAGTATGCAGTCGCCGATTCGCTATTCCTCTATAGAGCATCATTTTTAATTAGTTGTTTAAATGGTTCTAATCATGCATAGCCTTTCATGCTTTTTTTTTTTTTTTTTTTAAATGTTTAAAACTTCAGGTATAGAAAATGTAAATATACATTAAAGATGCTTGAGACATCTTAACGAGATTGCCTTTTCTTTTCTTATCCTCCCCTTTTTAATCTTCTCTTAAATGGGAATATACATCTTAAAGGCTGTCTGGTGAGGCTATGACATATAGCCTGAGGTACAAAAGTCTATCTACAGCGACTTCTTCAAGAACACACAGCTCTATGAGAATCAATGAGGGCAACTGTCACGTGGCTATTCCATTAACTTTTAGTAACACCTGCTGCATATGTACAGTCAAACATATTTCTCTGAGACTGGTCAGGGAAACAAAATAGCCAATATTTGATGTAGTCAGATAAAAAGCTTCTTCGGATAAGTAACTTTTCAATATAAATAAATTTGGGGCACGTCAGGTGATTGATGACTTGAAATTTTCAGCACCAGTCATTCCAAATCCTATCTTATCTGCATCATCAACAGTATTTACACAGACACAAAAGTTGCTGTTATGAAATAAGTTTGTGTTAATTTAGCTACCAACATCCTAACATACATCTTTCCTTCTCCACCCTTGTCAGAATTGGAGGCTTAACTGTAGGGATTTAAAGACTACTGGTAATGGAGACACTGTCTGGAGTCTGATGCAATATGTTTTGTCTGTCTACAGTCTGTTACCATAGCTACAACAGTGTATTTGCTATAATAAGACATGGTCAACAAGCAAAGAGTTTGAATCAATCCAAGCTGACAGGTAAAAAAGCAGGAATACAAAACAGCTACTCTTTGCATTTGGAGACGTCCTTACTTCATCATCAAATTGTTGGTAGCCCTAATTCAAAGTCATAATGAATAATGTTAACAGACTGTGGTCCTGTCTATTGAATCCTATCGTCAGACATTAGAGTGGAGTGATTGAACACATTTACTATTATTTACAGTCAACTCTTTGTGACCAGCTTTGACCGGATTTCAAAATTGTCTACCAAGAAGCTTTCACAGTCCTCTAAGATATTGCAAAGTTTCAAGACACTGAAACATGGTGCTTTACAATTGAAAGGCAGTTATAAAAGTTATCTCCAGCACATCAAATCAGAGCGTGGTTTGGACTTTCTGCGGTTGCTATGGCCATAATGTCATAACATTCTGCACAAGATACAATACGAGTGAAAAAAGAAACTGAATTTGAGTGTACAAACAGAAGTTAACAAGTTAAGCACTGCGGACAGTACACATTCCAGGACCAGGAGGGGAAGAAAGCATAATACGATTAAGTAAAATGATTTGCCTAGAGAGCCTCCACACAGCCACAGCATAGCACATTGCAAACCAATATCAGGCCCTCACTGGCTGCCGTTACTGCTGTTGTTGTTGTTGTTGTTGTTGCAGATGTCTCCGGGGCCTCCACCAGAAGCAGGGTTGTCTGCGAGATTGTGAGCATGCTCTAGAAACAGGTCTTTGAGCACACTCAGTTCTTTGCTAAGCAATTTGATTTTGGCCTCCAGTCTCTCGTTCTCCTCCTTCAGCTCATTGACGCGCTGTTGGGTGTCCTGCGCCTTCTGCTTGCTGCGCATGCGGCTCTTCTTTACAGCCAGGTTGTTGCGTTCTCTCCGTTGGCGGTACTCGTCGCTATCTTTATCCATACTATTCTTTTTCATCTTGCTGGGTGGTGTAGCCTTACCCCCACCTCCGGGACTCACTGGAACTAATTGAGGAACCTGTCAGAATTATAATAATGTCACACATAGTAATGATAAGCAACAGCATATCCAGTATATGGCTTAATTGACATTTACATTCCAAGTCTTAAACAATTTTCTTTAAGACTACAAGAAACTGGATGGGTGGAGGCACTTTATGAATACATATTATGAATGCATGATATTGAAGAAAAATGCTATATGCAATAACTTTGCAAGTAACTTGCAATATTCAATATGCGTTACGATAATGCTTTAAGTGTGTAAAGTAAATTTATATGTTAATATTTAAAAACTGAAAATTATATAACCAACATACACTACCGTTCAAAAGTTTGGGGTCAGTGAGAATTCTATTTTTATTTTTTGGAGGAAAGAAATCAATACTTTTATTTATCAAGGACAGTAAAGACATTTATAATGTTACAAAAGATTATATTTCAAACAAATGCTGTTCTTTTGAACTTCCTATTCATCAAAGAATCCAAAAAAAAAAAACTGTACAACTGACAGACCAACAACTGTTTCAACATTGATAATAATAATAAATGTTTCTTGAGCATCAAATCCTCATATTATACTGATTTGTGAAGGATCATTTGACACTGAAGACACTGACACTGGTGATGCTGAAAATTCAGCTTTGATCACAGAAATAAATTACACTTTACTATATATTCACACAGAAAACAGCTGATTTACACTGGAATAATATTTAATACAATAACTGATTTGTGTTGTATTTTTAATCAAATAAGCGCAGCCATGGTTAGCAGAAGAGAATTCTTTTAAAAGTATTTAAAATCGTACCGACCCCAAACTTTTGAACGGTAGTGTACATGTTTCACATTCTTTTTGTGAGAAGGAAGCATCCCTACAAAGTGAACCAGTGTTTTACTGTAGAATTACATAAAAAGTAAGTGTCATTTTAACATCAGTGTAAACCAGGGGGGTTTAGGGTTTCAGGTAGGCATGATACATTAGGTTTATTTAACAACAGAAATTGAATAATCAAATATAAAAATAAAACTTGCTTAGTCTTCACTGTATGAATTAAATATACACTGATTCTTATTAAACCTACTGAAGTTATTCAGTCAAGAGCAGTGAGTGATTTTCTCTTTGTCTCTTGTGGTTTGATTAATATTAAGCACACAGACAGAAGCAGGTTTATTAGGCTGCTGTCCATTTAAAGGTCCAGATATACTTCAAGCGAAATCGAAGAACGAACTGATATTACTTCATTTCGAACAAAATCAGGCCAAATCGAAGTTCGTTTGTGTTCATTTCAGGAGTTTGAAACGGCTTTCAAAAGCAAACTTTCTGGAAAAGTTTGCTACGGCTGGTAAACACCTTCGAACTCCCATTGGTCCATGGCGATTACGTAATAGGTAGGTATGCGCTAAGGGTCCGCCTTCTTTCACATGGGAATTCTTCTCTGGTTTATTTCTTCTGTTGAGTCCGTCAAGGTCAGACATTCGCGGGTAAAAACGCTAACACAGTGGAGAGTCGCTTTATAGTAGAAAATGTGAATGAAGATGAAATGAACTGCTTTCCATGTTTAATACTGTAAAGCTGCATGCTTTTAAGCAATCTATTAAGTGCTATATAAATAAACGGGACTTTCCTGGATTGCCGAATTGCAAAGCGTGTGCAAATATCCACATTGCTTTGAGTTTGATCAGATGCTTTTCTTATGCTTCCTTTAAAAAATATTTACATATTCATCTTACCGTCACTCTCAGCAGTGTGGGTGGTTGTTGGATGTTCGCTAACAGTATATCGCTGGTCACGTAATTCGAACTTCTTTTTACCCCTAAGCCAAGAACGAAAGTATATCGTGAGTATAGCGGGGCCTTAAGAGCTGCACGGATCCAATATGTTGTTACACATGCACTTTCTTTCTTTCCACTTTAGACATAACTGACCATGTTTACATGAATACTCACCAAGATGGGCAATTTGACATGATTTTGTGTGTATTTGGCCACGTATGCTACAGAAGAGAACTGATTTCGGGATCACGTGGTTTCCGAGAGGCTGCTTCCTGTGCGCGTGAGTACTTCGCTCATTGCATTTAAATTTAATTTAAACAATAAGCATGATGTGACGCATATGAAATAGTCATGTGTCCAGTCTATTCTTTGCTGTCTGCAAGACTTAAAACTTGGACTTTTTTGTAATCTTTTAAAAATGTAATTAAATTATTTATTTATTTTTAATCTTTTGGAGTATGAAAATCATGCAGTTATCACGAGACCTTCTTGTGATATGCATATCGTGATATGTACATCTGCGAAATTGATATGTCGTGCAGCCCTAAATCATACCATGCTTTAAAGGAGAACTCCGGTCAATTTTAACATTGAGCTCATTTTTTTGTACATTTGGAGTGCTGTCAGTACAGACAAAAACGACAAAAATCGGTTCTGCCTACACCGTGTTATCCTCTTTTTAAAATTCGCACCCTGTTGACTTCAATGGGGCAAGTTCTAAACCTGCTTTTAGCCTCTTAACAACCTTAATGTGTCATTACAAGTGCACAGCCATGTGAGTGGTGTTATTAAGAGTGACCACGGTCAATCTGACTGCAATAGATCTGAAAGATAAGTCGATTGTCGAGTTCGCGCGCGCGATCATTGGTAACTAATATAACTAATGATCGCGCACAAACTCGACAATCGACTACTGTGGACTTCGAACGAAAACAGGAAGTAAATACAGGTATGTGAGCTGGCAGAATTAACATCATTTTTATTAATATCTTTCAGATCTATTGCAGTCAGATTGACCGTGGTCACTCTTAATAACACCACTCACATGGCTGTGCACTTGTATTGACACATTAAGGTTGTTAAGAGGCTAAAAGCAGGTTTAGAACTTGACCCATTGAAGTCAACAGGGTGCGAATTTTAAAAAGAGGATAACACGGTGTAGGCAGAACCGATTTTTGTCGTTTTTGTCTGTACTGACAGCACTCCAAATGTACAAAAAAATTAGCTCAATGTTAAAATTGACCGGAGTTCTCCTTTAAGCACTGCAAAATGACACAATACAATGCTTTAATCTTGGTTTTGCAGAGTCATTTATATTCATAAATGCATGGGTGAATAGATCAGCTTGTTGATGTGTGTACCTGCTGTAGTCCTGCAGCTCCTGCGGGGTTAAATGCACTATTATGAGGCTGATTCTGTATAACACTGACACCGTTCTGATCTGTGCTGGATATCTTCTGTTGCAACTGCTTGTTCATTTGGATCCACTTCCACTGTCTTTCTCTCAGCCTCTCCGACCTATGTTGTCGGGCTTCGCAGAGCTGGAGTTGGTGTTGGCTGGTATTGTGTGAAGCTGGATGCCACAAAATGCAGCCGTGTGCCTGAAAACCAGACAGAATGGAGAGAAAGAAGTTATACAAGGTACTCTGCACACATCAGCATCATTCTCCATCACACTTTTACATATTTTGTTGGCACACAATCCCCACCTGAACAGATGCTTTACGCAAAACGCATTATTTCAGCAAAATGCTGCAACACCTGAAAGTCGGGTCAACCGCTTGTGCTTATCCGTTAGCATTATGTTGTTGTTATCCGACTGTGCCATGTCAATGTGCATATGTGGCAAATTTTCTTTCTCTCATGAGCGCGAGCTCAAGTGTTGCCCGCGGTTGCATCATCGCTCGCGCTCCCACCCGCTCCTTTTTTACACGGGAGAAGGGAAACTCCGTAGTCATGCAGAACTATGCCGAGCTAAAGTTAACATTTGAAACAAACATCAGAGTAGTGACGATACGGTAAAGAAAATTAAAGTTTATTAGTGAACATTTTAAAGGCAGACAGTGTTTTTGAGTCATGATAGGCTGGTTACATCATACACGGAACTGTGGGAATGAAGGGGAATACCGCTGACTAGCTTTCAACAACAGTATGCCTGATTTACATTAAAAAATGGCAGCAGATCCAGTAAATCAGTATTGTATTCTATAGCGTTGAACCATGTACAACACCCACAATGTTGACACAAGTGTCACTTTAGGGCTAACGTTACGTGCGTCCGTAGCCAGTGGGATCAACTGCAGGTTAGCAGGTTGGCTAGCTAATAGTTGGCACATTCCTAACCATGACGTCAGGCCTCTAACAATGAACTTGAGAGCTCATACAGGCTGCTTTCTACATAAAAAGTTACGTGAGCGAAGAATAACGATTCACAGTCGATCGCGATCATGTTTAATCGTCGGTTATGAAGCTCTAGCTGGCCTCAAGATCCGGGAGTTGAAGCTATTTTGCAATCGACTGAGCGGCACGGATCCTGTTAGCGAGCCATCGGTTAATTGATAAAAAAAAATACATTCGACACTCTGTATCTTACAATATCCCCGCAAAAACTTACCTTGAAAACGTTCCAGGCTTACAAGTCACCCACTCGAGTTAATAAAGAATAATGTCCTCTTTGTTCACGGAAAAATAAGCACAGGTTGAGGTGTTATTGTTTGGTAAAGCGGCGCTTGGGAGTATTGCGAAATCTTGTGACCATGTAGGGAAATCTGCTCTCGCAACCAATCAAATCAGAGGGTTGGGAGACGACGAAATGTACTCTTTGATTGACATGTCCCTAAACCAACCAGGCTGCATTTCTCGGTTTGGGGAGTTTTCATGCGGTAAAACATTAGATCTGTCAACAGTAGCTAGACTAATAATTAAGCTCTCGTTTCATAAAGCTGGTGAAAATTAGAATTATTAAAAGGAAGTATTTTTAAAGATTCATAGAAGCGAGAGCCAAGCTAAATAAAGTTATTATTGGTAATACTCTAGTTTATAATTTTGCGCTGCCCAGCTGGCATTCGACTGACATTAAACGTTTAAATGTGGTTGGAATAATGTCAGTTTATGAAAAAACATTAATTCAACGTTAAAACAACGTTGAACACCAAATAGTTGAAGTTGTGTTGTTGACTCACTACGGATTCAACATAGAAATATATATAAAAAAATTGAGTTGTACGTCAAATCAACATTATTTTTACAACCATGACTTTTAAACATTTTGTTGAAATATATCAGTAGAAAAATAACGTTGTTCCAAAATCCAATTTGCAATCTGATTTGCAAAATCTAAACAAAACTCAACGGTTATCCAACACTGGCACCTGACGTTGATTCAACAGTGACTCGACGTTAAAATGCCAGCTGGGCTTGGACATATAGGGCCTATATATTTATTGATTCAAAATCAATAAGTGAAAAAAAAAAAGTCCTCTCGCTATAGATTCAAAAGGACATTTTTTCTAAACACGGCATCACCCCCCCCCCCCCCCCCCCCCCCCCCCAAGTGATGAAAAAATGTCCTTTTGAATCCATAGCGAGAGGACTTTTTTTTTTTTTTATGCAGGACATGTAGCCTAACATTATATGGCTCCAATACATAGGCTATTGGACATTTAGGTAATTTCTAAATCTGACATAAGGTAAATGAAAGCAGACCAAAATAAATCAACAGAAAAACGTAATTAGGCTATAACACATCTGTTGCTGCCCTCTCGTCTCATTCTTTTAATCATGTGCCAGGCTCGCGCTGTAACAATAGAGGGAGCTCCTGCTCACTTTCAGCGCATGCAATTGTCAAGTTGCTGTGTGCTTTCCAGCTTCTCTCGCTCATGAGACGCCTGCTGCGGAAAATAAAAGAATAAACACAACAAATAAACACAAAGATAAAATCAATTATTCAATGGGATGGCTGTCTTTATTTATTTTTATTTTTTGGGTGAGATTTAATGTGGAGGCGATTTTAATTTATTAAAACAATTTCATATGGCATTTAGGCCTACATGGTGCGTTCTTTTTCAATTACCCTTTTATTATTTTTTCTTTCTCTCTCTTTAATTTTTTTTTTTACTTTAGTAATTTGTATTACATTCATGTAACATGAGCAACAGTCCTGTCCGTAGCCGCTTTGCCATTGTAATTTGTCTCATGCTATAGCACTCACATCCACCTCTCTTTATGAAAATCTTTTTTCCCCTTTAAGCATGCATTTCCATTCACAACACGCCTCCAAAGGCTGCTACAATACTAGACCTATTGAACATCAAAATCTAAATTAATTTAAATCTACAATGTAAAAAAAAAACCCATAAAGATGCATTATTTAATTTGATGAATTATTATTAATTATCTGAAACGATCGCATATTATTTTACCTATAATTCAATAATATTGACATTTCTGAAGGACCAGGTTGATATCAGTGCGTGTGTTGAGCTCTCGCGCAGAGATCACGGAGTGAAGCATTAGGACCCAGAGCACGCCCGCCCTCCAAACTCCAAAGCGTATATAAGTGCACTGAGAAAGTATTTGACAGATGTGAAGCTCACACGCTGATGGTGTAAGTGTCATATTAAAGGAGATCCTGAGTGGCGTTTCAGCCGTTAAGCTTTCATTCACTTTACAGCCAAGTACACAGCCACGACAGGCTGCGCGCTCGCCTGTCCCGAGAACTTGGAGCCAGCACGGCTTTCTCCGGTACTGCGAACAAGCTGGATTCCCGGAGCTCTTCACCATGTCTGGCAGGTTTTAGATACCCCATGGAGCAAGCAAACCTCTACGAGGTCGCCCCACGGCCACTGATGACCAGCCTTGTACAGAGTCAGCAAAACCCGTATATCTACAAAGACACCGCTGGAGACCTGAGCGAGATCTGCGAGAACGAGAACTCCATCGACATCAGCGCCTACATTGACCCCTCTGCCTTCAACGACGAGTTCCTGGCTGATTTATTCCACAACAGCTCCAAGCAAGAAAAGCTCAAACTGGCGAGCGGAGACTACGAGTACCCCCACGGTGCCAATGGCACACAGGGGGCCCCGCAGATGTATGGCTGTCTGAACAGCTACATGGATTCCTCCAAACTGGAACCCATCTACGACAGCCATGCTCGAATGAGACCCGTGGCCATCAAACAAGAGCCCCGGGAGGAAGATGAGCTCAGCCACTCGATGCCACCCACATACCACCACTCTCAGCACCACGCACCGCATCTATCCTACCTTCAGCACCAGATCGCGCACTGCGCGCAAACCACCATGCACCTCCAGCCGGGCCATCCCACACCTCCCCCGACGCCCGTACCCAGCCCGCACCACCAACACAGCCACCTGCCGGGGGGCTCCATGAAGATGGGTGATCGAGGGAAATCCAAGAAACAGATCGACAAGAGCAGCGTCGAGTATCGCATGAGGAGGGAGCGCAACAACGTAGCCGTGCGCAAGAGCCGGGACAAGGCGAAAATGCGCAATGTGGAGACGCAACAGAAAGTGATCGAGTTGTCGACGGATAACGAAAGACTGCGCAAGAGGGTGGAACACCTTACGCGAGAACTGGAGACGTTACGGGGCATCTTCAGGCAGCTCCCAGACGGCTCGTTTGTCAAAGCCATGGGTAACTGCGCCTAACGGAGCGGGCTGAACTTTTGAAGTAACTTTTGCGTGATTTTTACGTCTGCTGGATAAACGCTGACACATTCTGAAAGTGTTTCTATAGGAGCCAGGCAGCTGCGGTATACATGTGCCTTTTGTACAAAAAAGTGACAAAAACAAACAAACGATAAGCTCATCTCTTCATACATTTGGACTAGCTTGTTGTAGTAGGTGTAGTCTTTTTAGAATGTGTTAGCTACGCGAAATATATCAGTGCAGCTAATGGGCATGATTTCACCCTGTCAATCTACTTTTATGTTAAGTTACCAGCTTTCCTACTTCCCCCTTGCCCCCTTGGGTTACATACAAACCTAAAGCGACAAAAAAACTTTCCTGCCATAGCAGGCTGTTTTTCCACCACCTGCTGCTGCACAACATTCACTGTATGATATTGTTGATTTAATACTTTTTTGCAGGGGGTGTGTTTGTTTCATGGACGGCAATAGACAAAATGCCAAGCATAGGACTGGAACTCATTGGTTTTTACTGTGGTAGACTATCTGTCATTCATAACGCAGACTGTATGCACTATATGTCGTCCAAACGCGACCTTTTGAAGCGCATTGTGAACATTGTTCCATGATTCGGGTACTGATCTGTAAAACGTCTGTCAGTATACGCTTTTAGAGTAAACGCTTTGTATTTATGCAATATGATTGATAAAAATGTGAAAGGGTGCATATCTCTATGCAATGTCTGTTGCTGTCATGAGAATAATTCCGGTGGACGATCACCGTGTGCTTTCTCACTGGTTTTGCAGTGAAGTCCTGTCTTGCTCTGTAAGTGTGTGCATTTCATGTGAACTTTTTCTTTCTTTTTTGTACATCAACACTCGAGCAGAGACCTGTTTCAGTGCCTTTTGAGTTTTGCTGTCTTTATCGTCATCACTGACTGAACTTGGACAGAAATACACAGCAAGGAAAAGGAAGCACTTTTTCTTTTTATTTCTTTTTTTTTTTACAAACGGCATATTGCAAATGTTATACGAATGTTTAATATGTTTCAGTTTTAAAATGAACATTATATATAAATATATATATATATATGCTAAAATGATTAATTAAAACATTGTCTTACATATGTCTCATCCATTGCCTTCTCATCTTGAGCAGTTTTGCAACTTAATCTGTGTTTATAGCTTTATAGTTTGTTTATAGCTATCTGTATTTGTAATTCACCTTTCTTCGTTTCTTAGTTTGTCGCGCTCGTGTCTAGTATAATTCCCTCACTGTTGTGTGATTTCTTTAGTTAGACTAGTACTCTGTGTAGCATCAGCCCAAGAGTGTTTAGTTGACACATGCAATTCGCTCTACACCGATAGGTGGCGCTCGAAAGTCGTTTAAGTCCAACATGCACATACATATTTTTAAAACGCGTGTGAGTAAAACTGGAAACCAGAATTAACTGGAATAAGACTAGTAAAATAACTTTGTTTATAGTTTAAATGATAGCTTCCACATCATTTGTCTTTTACGTGAATACAAGAAGGCCTTTCCAGAAGGATCCCTTCAGCTCATGCATGGTCTTCGAGCTTCACTGTTAACTTTCACTCAACAGTCATTCACAGCGCTAAATATTTACAGTGAGTTGTTGCACTTTTAATAGAGTTCACATTGAACACATTGCCACTAAAAGATGAGGGTCACTGATAACGACTTGTGAGTAGTACCACTTTCATTGATTAATGCCTCAGCTCTGAATTGATCAAATTATCCTTAAATGAGATAATGTAGAGTGCTACTGATGTCTTTATTTCTCTTGAGTATACTTTTCATAGAGAACGAGAGATAGGCTCTCTCTGACCTGTGGAGACGTGTTACACTCCATTGTTGTCAATTGACATGTTTTTACATTATCAGCTGTGGAATGATTGAATCAATAAATCAAGCCCCTTTCCAAAGCTCTGTTGCAGATAGAATGATGGCACACAAGGAATCTGTCTCAGCCAGGTTCAAGCATAGTTGTTAAGCCAACATTTTCAGTCTCACTTGTACTTGCCTGCCAGCTCTGTTCTGTGGCCAGCTCTTTTTCCTCATTCAGCTTCACCTGTGAATGATCTGCCTTGTCTCACTTTCTATCATAAGTCAGAGAGAAGTTTCTACACTTCCATCATTCTAGATTATGCCACGTTGTAGCCAAAGACAAATCATCAACACCCATTGAATCTGCCTAATAATATTCATTCTGAATTGAATGAAACTTAAATGGGGAAAGTCCTGGTAATGTGCTGATGTTTCCGAGACTTTTCCCAATTTTATGGCAAAATAGCCATAAAAAATATAATGGAGTCTGAGCGACAAGTTCATTGTAGAATATTTATACATTTTTATGAATTATGAATTTTTCAAGAATAAAAAGCAGATTTTTACAGCATTGTTTTTAGTTATGATTTTGATCATTTTTTGATAAAAAAAGATTATCAGACATTTTGCTAATGTAACTTTCTGTATTAAATAATTGTAAATTAGCCTGCCTTAATGCTGATTAATACAAAGGACGATGACAATAATGATAACTAAAGATTTAATAATCCAATTCTGTGAGAATAGTCTACTCTATACCATATCTATAACGATAACGACAATATTGTAGGAGTAATTTTTAGAATTTTTTCCCAGCTGATGAACGATAAAAACATTGAGAGCCAATCAGAATCAACCCAATTTTAAAGAGCTTGAGCATTTAAACTGGCAGATGACATAACTGCAATGTTTTTTTTATGATAAACGGAACATTGTCATCCTTTTATTGTAGATGCCAATAGTTATCTTTCTCGGTGTGAACAGGCCTTTAGAGTCTATTGCAGCAGGACCTCCTTTACATTGAATATAAGTGCTTTCTGAGCGCTTTAATTTTTTCTCTTACCAGTCATATCTAGAGCCATATATTGTATATTTAATCTATGAAATCCCATTACTGGATAAAAAAGCTATTGCTCAACAGAAGCTAGTTCTGTTCAGGAAATGTGTGGGGAAAATGTTCATAGGGCGAGTAGATGGCTTCTCTCCTCCCTGAATGGAATACATTAAAGCATTAAGCTAAAACCTGGATGCTTCCTTTGCCATCTTATTTCCTGTATAGCTGAGAGAATTCTCCAATGATTGAATTTTGTCTTCTCTCTGTCCAACATTTGACATGTTTGAGAAAAGCCAAATCTAACTTGACTTGATGCGAGCTTAATATGTAGTTGTGTGCAGCTGTGTGTCATGTTCGCTTTGTTTCGTTAGTGCAAATTCCTTTGCTGGGGTGTGTTTTTTTTATCTCTGCTCAAACACCTTGAGAATGTCTGAGATGATATCAAGAGTAAATTAGAAGAGCCAAGTGAAAATAAGTGTTTTTTTTATTAATCAAAGAAAATGCATTCACAAAAACAATCTGTAAAAAATCAGGACACTTACTTTAGCTGGAGCAAAGTTGATATCTAACCATTTAGCATTCTGTTGTCATTGACTACGTTTACATGCAGCCAATATTCGGGTTAAGGTCACTATTCGGGTTTCTGAAACATTAGGAATACCCCGTTTACATGCGTGAGCAGAGAGAGTTACTCCAACATGGAATAGGCTTTATGCCGAGCGTCACGTGACCAAGCCGGAAAACAGATCACATCGCTTCCGATTCAGGTCTTTTGTATGTGCTTCATGACATTTTTTGCGGTTTTACTCAAGATAACTTAAAAGGAGCAAGCAAAAATGAGCATAACCAATGTCCCTCGCATGTGCAGATTGATATTTAAAAGTTTTTTAATTTTTCTTCTTCACACTAACGTTTAGATATTTAAATAGCATAAAACACCAATAACAAAGTGGACTTAGTAGGTTAGCTGATTACCTTAAAAATCCATCGATATCGTAGTTAGTTCTTACGGCCGTTAACACTTTCTCTGACAAGCGGATGCAATGAGACCTGTTTTCCGGTTTGGTCACGTGACGCTCGGCATAAAGCCTATTGCAATATCCCGATGTAAACGGCGACGCACGGTTAGCGTCTGCACATACGGACAACGCAATATGCGTCATTTCTGATTCTTCTTCCTTTATCCAAAGACAACAACAACTGCAGCAGCACGCGGATAATGTATAGTTCGGGGCAGATAGCGATCGCCTTTGTTTGCGCTTTGGTGCTGTTACTGACCCACCAGCAGCACTTGACACTACTGTGCCTCATGGTCTTCATTAATAGAAAGAGAGAAAGTGAGCAAGAAATGGGAAATGTAGCTGGAGCTAATTGGTCTCCTCCTCGCTCCAAAAGTACGCTGTGCTGCGTCTCGCCATGTTTACTTCCGGTATACTGCACGCAGGTTTTTGAATGCGTCGAGAACTTAAGTTCCTCTACTCAAAATACCAAGATTCCTTGCGAATAGAACATGCGCAGAACACAAATCTATGTTCCTTTTGATGGGGATATGCCGAAACACGTTTACATGACCAAAAATTCGGGTTAGAAAAGGGGTACCCCAGGTATAATATCCCGGTTTTTAAAATCCGGGATATGAGCATATTCGGGTTTTTGCCGGTGTTTACATAGCCGTGTGTGACCGGGTTATTGCTAATATCCCGGTTTTGAACGGGTTATTGGCTGCATGTAAACGTAGTCAATGTTTTCTCATGTGGATAAATGCGAACATAGGAGCTAATTTGCCAAAAGCTTAGTATTCCACCAAACAAATTCAGTATCTTATCATTTGCTAAAGAAATATGTGAAAACCAACAATATGATAAATCCAATACAAATGAATATGTATGCATAAGTGTGCATGCAAGTCAGTGTGTTTAACAACGTTATTTGATAATACACTCTTTCTTATTTGTCGTCTGACAAAAGTTTACCAGACCTTTGAGTGAAACTTCAAAAGTCAGAAACTTGTCTCGATCTCTCCACACTAGACTCTCTCCTTCAAGTGAGATATGTGTATACTCACATTTGAGTTCGAGGTTCTGGTATAGTACAATATAGTTCTGTTATAGTACAAAACCCTTCAGTATCGATATGATTTAAAACTCCCTGTCCAGTGCTTTCACCGGCTGCCAGCAGGCCCAGCAATTTCACTTTGGGCTCGATAAGTCCCTACAAAAACCTGAACCCAGTGCAATAGAATGAAGTATATCACTGTTTGTTTGCTTAGGGATGGTCGTTAGAAGGCTGGAACCTGGACTTGACAATTGCTAAGACAACCAAGAAGAGGTCAAACCGCACAGAAAAATAACACACCGCTCTTTGTCTTGGTCTTTGTGAAGTTAGTAAATGCTTTAGCTCTTTGCTGCGAGAATATTCAAGATGAAGATTGATTGCAGAAAAACAGGGATTGATGCATTCTTAAGTTAATTGGGTAACATTTTTCAGCAAGCTCTCATTTGCTGTTTTGCTTAACGTCTCATTTACGCCTGGCTTGTTTTCTTGCCCTGTTCAGGAGCTCCACCAACTCTTTTTTTGATCCATACCTCACTCTCTATCAATCTTTCACTTCCAGTAGTTTACGTGATCTCTCAGACTGCTATGGGAAGCATATAGTGTGAACTGACCCCTTGGTGCCAAGTTCATTATTATATTATATTATATTATATTATATTATATTATATTATATTATATTATATTATATTATATTATATTATATTATATTATATTATATTATATTATATTATATTATATTATATTATGAGCAGTCTAAAATAGCACTGTCCCAACTGAACCACACAATGCAACACATTGGATGGCACAGAGGGCATCTGACCCAATAAAAGTGATGTTTTGAACAACTGATTTTTGTTGCATGGTAGCATAGAAACTGGTCTGGGCTTCACTTTTGGGGTTGTGCATGTATAATTAATGATCTGCTCTAAGCCAATAGGTAGAACAGCTTTGTCACATTTGAGCATTTGGCTTCCAATACAGTGCATAACTAAATAAAACTGGCAGTTTGAGGACAAGGAAAGATTTCTGTAATTTGGCATGCAGATGGCCAGGGCCCTTGTGGGACTGTGATCCGGCCCTAGCTATAGAGATCTCCATTATGAATAATTATCTTTATCCTAGTCATTACTCAATCATTACATCCATTTTTGCTTATGTTTTAGCAGGTC